TCTCGCTGTCCGCCGACAAATCTCGGTGATCGATTCGAGCGTGCCATCAAAACATCAGGCGAAACCTATTTCTCGAGAGAATACGTGAGTTTCCAGAACCGTGGGGGTCCTGCAGGCCCCCTGCAGTATTCCAACGCCATCTTTGCTGTTGCCATTGCGGTCGAGAGACCAGCAGAATAGGAAAAAAAAAATCAGTAATTCCTAATGATCGAGCTGACAAGAGACCGCGACAACAGCAACAACAACGACGACAACGACGATGGTTGTTAATAAATTAAACGCGGTCCTTCATCATCAACCGGGAGGATATCGCGTGACCCAGCGTCTATTTAAGCACACGCAGCGGTCGAACATTCACGCGAGTGCGCGTAATTCACGTGATTCGCGATGAAACAGAATCGATAGCACGGCTTAATCGCCGTTGCCGCAGAAGGCGGCTCATTTGTATGAAGCTTCATCGTCCTGCTAATCGAGTTAATTACCAGGCTGATAAAGCGCGAGCGACTTTGCGACAGCTGTGTCCGATAGAAAAACAGGAAAAGAGAGAGAGAGAGAGAGAGAAGGAAAGGCCAAATTACCACGCAGATGACGCCCGATCCTCCGTGACTCTTTGCGTCCCACGCTTCTTCCTGCTTCGTCGTACACGAGCAACACAGTCAATTTATAACGGCCATTATCGCGGACGCGATCCTTCCGTGACTATTATTACCTGCCTCCGCAGCAACTCGACAATTACTCTAATGGAATAATTTTTTTGGGGAAATCTATCGAGACCGGGGGATGGTTTTACCCGGCCACACCCTTCGCGCGTCAATCCTCCAATTGGAATCTCGTTTGGTGTCACAGAACAGCGACAGACATTCTTTATTTCGTCGTTTAAAGAGACGAGGGTGATATAAAACTAGTGACGAAAGGTGATCGATTTGAAAATTCAATTATCAAACACACTGTGCAACAATATACAGAGAGAGAGAGAGAGAGAGAGAGAGAGAGAGAGATTTTAGAAGATAGAAAAAGATTTTATCCAAGAACACATAGCGAGAGAATAGTTGAGGATAGTTGTGGTTTACACGCGTGGTTTGTGGGTTAATCTCGATGAAATTTATATGTGCAACTTCTCGTTGGTCAGAGAACGTTCAATTTTAAACAGTTGGACACTCTGTTTCGGCCACGAGGTTAATAACCAACCGGAAATCGGTGGATTTTCATTCCGGAGCGCAGACACACGAAAGTCGAATCCCAGAGGAAGATTGACGCGCTCGCGAGGCCGCCACCAAAAGGGACGAGTGTGTGGAGGGGGGAGGGAGAGAGGAAAAGGGGGGAGCTTATAGACCGCGCTGCCAGATCGAATTGCTTTTTACAGCGGACGGTCGCGAGATATCGAACGCGTGCTCGTATGTATACACGCTTGTTGTACACGCATGCATAAGAAGACGTCGGTTGCGTGTACGGATTCACGTGGACGCGTGTGCGTGCGCACGGACACACGTACGAACATCGGAGGCACATGATGCGTGTGGGGCGCGGCGCACGGGTATAAAAGAGCAAGCGAAAAAGGGAGCCTCTTTTTAATCTAGCGACGATTCGCAACCCCCTGCTCCTTTTATAGTTACGTGCTTAGTGCTTATACCCATTGACTCCCTCTCTTTACTCTCTTGCCCGAGCTGTCTGTCATCGTTCCTCTTTATACGCTTTGTCGTCGTGTCAGAGCGGCTCTCTTCTGTGTGACCGAGGGCCCGGACCAGAGCAGTAGTCCCTCCATCGTATTGCCCGCACCTTCGTACGTCGCGACCAACCGCCATTCTACTACTTGCTGATTCTACGTACGATTTATCGTCTACCTGCATCCCGTTTACGCAATGTCACGGATGCTTCACTCGGTTATCATTTTGTAATTGATAGAGCCGCGATGGCGCGTACAGAATTTGATTGTTTTTTAACATTGAGAAACGAAACACTCTGACAATGAGAACAAACGAAGAAAGAAATCAACGAACGAGTAGTATCTAGAATTTTAATACTTCAAGAGGTTCAGGGTTCGCAAGAATTTTCGTTCCTTGAATTCTCTTTTGAGATCTCGAAAGTTCGGGAAACTTGAAATCCTCGGCCAATCAAACTGTTCAAACCTTCAAATTCTAGGATCTTTGAGTTCTTGAATCCTCAAATCTACAAATACTCAATTCGTCGGATCTTTCAATTTTAGAATCATTATCAAATTACCCGCCGCTCGGAAGTTTTAAATCTTCAGAATTTAGAATTTCTTGATTTCGGCGTCCGCCAACCCTCAGATTTTCCTTTTTCGAATCGACATTTCCTTCGTCTCATGTGCACATATCGTCCCTCTCTAAAACTGATCACACCTTGAACAAAAACGCATTTGCATTTTTTCTATCCTTCTCTGTATTTCTCGAGAGTGTCGTCGCTCGAGGCCGACGGCTAAATCGGTCGAAGGCATTGTTCGATATAACACACGGCACGTTTCCTGTTCCTTTCTCGGGAAAGTGCATCGCTCTCCGTTCGCCGGTTTTTCGCTTGCATACACACACGGTGGTGTGCATGACGCGCGCGAGCCGTGCTGTTCCATGCCGCATATGTTGAACGCGTACAATGCCCGCGTGATCGTATTACCATTCACAATGAACCGACGAGCCAGAGACTAATACGAAAAGCGGCACTAATCAACCCTTTTGACGAAATTTCACAATTGGCACACTTGCGGCTTCACCCGATATCGTTAAATATCGCCACTCTCTGGTTTGTTCATCCGCGACGTCAACGCTCATCCCCCCCTGAATCGTCGACGACGTTA